GGAGGAATGTAGTGCATAAAACCCGTAAAGTATTGACAAAATGAATGCATTTATGGGCGAAAGTGTATACAAGCCCGTACACTATTGACGATGTATTCCGTGGGGCTGGGGGAATATGTTTTGAATACAATCCCATGACATTTTGATGCTGTATTCATGAGTAGTGGAGGATTGAAGTGTATACAATCCCGTGAAATGGTGACGGGGGATTCACAGCGGCAGTGTGGTCATATAGTGGTTAAAACATTCGCCCGTCACGCATTTCTGGTTGTTCTTGGTTGACATTGCTGGAAAATTGCTAATATTGGTGGAAACACACTCACTCCCCTTATCCTGAACAATTGAAGCAGATTCTGTCAAATCATGCACTGTAGACTTCGATTAGGATGTAATGATCTAAACTCGTACAAAGTTAATCCTTATATATCTAACGACCCATCTCGTCCCTGTGGTGCATTTTTTGAAGATAATTTATACTATTTCTTTGTGCGTCCAAATTATGACAATTCAAGAAACGATATGTATTTTTATAGAAATGGATACAATCTCAAATCGATCCCATATGGAAATATTCAAGCATCAGAAATTGAAAATTGCAAATTGTTAAATCTGTTAATTGTTTTATTTAAAATTCTTGTCGATCTAAATTTTAAAAAGTAATGCACTGAAACACAATTTAATACATAACTGTTAACCTACGGTAAATGATATTATTTCATTGAACAAATTCAATGTCACTTAATTATTTTCTGTTGAAATATCATACATATGTACACAATCGATGTTGTTGTATTGGAGCGGCATTAAGATAAGCCTTTGGCTTGTTTGCCAATCCTTTTCATTACTCATAATGAATCAAATTTGTTAACATTTAGTACCTACACCGAAACGTCGCACTCATTGCAATAAAGAAGTTGACTATCCATACAAATCAGTTTTCCTTCATCTTCATTAACTTCTAAAATGCCTCTCAAAACAAATTGAATCATATGGTTTTAAACGGCAACTTGTTACTATGGTTTAAAAGTTACTAGAAAAGCTATGTCAACGCGTTGTTCTAAATGGTTAATAATCCGGCCTTAGACTAGTTCTAGCAGGTGTCCCCCAAGGATCAGCTCTCGGACTGCTATTATTCATACTTTACATAAATGATATTGTTGATGACATTAATAGTAACATAAGACTTTTCGCGGTCTACACGTCACTTTATGTTATAGTACATGACCCCAAAACACCTGCAGCTTGTTTAAATGAGCATTTATCAAGAATATCTAACTGGGCAGATGAATGGCAAGTTGATTTCAATCCAAGTAACACTGCATCTATACAAATTTCCCGAAAACTAACTCAAGCGCCAAAATTGCTAATGAATAACTCTGTTATCGCCGAGGTGCCAGACCATAAACACCTTAGAGTAACATGTCAACAAGATGGCCTCTGGTACAGTCATACCGAAACTTCACGGTAAGGTGGCCTCATGATAAATTGTCTGAGAAGTTTTAAGTATCGCCTTAATGGAAAGACTCTGGAAACTATGTACAAATCATTTATACTGCCTATTTTCGATTATGTCAGTCATATTTGGTACAATTGTACAAATGAACAAAACCTATGCTTGAAAAGTGACACCTCCATGCAATCAGAACTGAATGTGGAGCTGTCAGTGGCACTAGTTATGATAAACTTTATGATGAAACAATTCTTACCTCTTTGGATAAAAGGAGACAATCTCAAAAGCTATGCATGTTCTATTAAATGGAAAACAATCTAGTGCCTCCTTATTTATCATCTCTCTTACCAAATAAAGTATATCTTATTCAACCACTTATTATTTAAGAAATCATCTAAACCTCCAAAGTATTAATTGTAGAAGTATGCCAAAACATTCCTTCCTGACACAATCAATATCTGGAATACTTTACCCCCTGACAGTACAAGCGCCCCATCCCTTGGCGAATTATAAAAGAGATTGAAAAAGGACAATATTTCTAAACTAAATTACTTCGATCTTAACTACTGTTCACGATTCTGTCAAATCAGTCACTCCCGCCTCCGATTTGGTTGCAGCGATCTCAACGCCGACAAATTTGGTAGACATATAGCTGAGAGACCAATGTATAACTGTGGCTGTCATACTGAAGACACTCTACATTATTTCTTTGTCTGCGCTGATTATGAATTGATCAGACACGATTTGTATTACTTTGTGAATGGCTTTGATTTATAATCTGTTCTTTACGGTCATTCCAGCTCACACTTAAAAACGAATATGGAAATCTTGAAATCAGTGCACAGTTTAATATTTTTATCAGGTAGATTTCCTGCTTTTGTAAAATACTAAGATAAGAAACACATCACTCCATAATTTCGTAACGATGTAAAAAATGAAACATAATTACATAATTTTACCATATACCTTTTGATATACTACCATACTTTTGATTGATATGTGACAATACAATTGCTGTATTGATTACACTTGCCAACAACACTTAAACGACTATTTTATGATGTCACTAAAATTATATTTTCTTCTCTCTATGTTGTACGGAAGAGGTATATGCATAATCCTTTGGCTTGTTCACCGATCCTCATTTTTTGTATTTCGAAATAAAATATGTGTAAACTAAACATGCTTTTAAATGCGCCGCCGGGTATGTTTTAACTCCCAAAATCGCTTGGCTTACTCAGCGCCAATGCACGTAGAGACAGCAGACCACTGAGAGGAACCTAGGCAAACCCAAACAACAATCTGACGTCGCAGAGCATTGTGTTTGGTAACTAAGTTTCACAAATTACGTCATCAGGTATTGTGATTCAATCTGTAAAGTTTGTGGTTCTGAATTCTAAAAGTTGGCCGATTTAAAGACACTTCCCAACTGCCTGGGACGAAACATGTGGTTCACCAATGTGATTTATTACCAAATACCATAAGTCAACTTTATTCCACTTTAAAGGATTCGTATTTCAACTGATATACGAGAATATATAGTATGACTAGAAATTATTGAGAATTTAAGGAATACTAGTATGTTTCATTGGATTTCTACTATAAACAACCATGACCAGCTATCAAGTGCTTGGTTTCATCAAAGAGAGACAACTCCGTTCATCCTTTTTCATTAGTTTGTGAGGAGTTTATCCCCCTTTGTTTACTTGCTAGCAGACGACATTTTCAGTGATCCTCAGTATGGATGATTTAGAGAAGAGGAAGTTGATTTTAGAGTATTATAACAAGGACATCAGATCAGCTAAAGTGATTTCAAGTAGAACAGGCATCCCTTTGTCAGCTGTTAATCGTGTTTTGAAAAATATTGCAAATGGATATGGCACTGAGCACCAGGGAGGCGCAGGTAGGAAAACTTAAGGCTGGATATGATTGATAGGGTAACTGTGGCTGTCTGTAAGGAGACAATTAGAACTGAGCTGCATGCAATGGGTTGGCAGAAAAGTCGAGGAATTCCATCACCGATCATGAAACCTGAACAAAAGGAGCGAAGGTTGAACTGGTGCTCACAGCATAGAAATTTTAACTGGGACAATGTGATTTCTCAGATGAAAGTTCTGTGTGGCTGTTTCCTAATACACTGAAATTCTGGACCAAACAAACTGAAAAACCTTTGTATCAGCGCCCAAAGTACAGTCCGTAATTTAACGTGTGGGGTGGCATATCTGTGTTAGGGGCAACGCCCCTCTGTGTATTTGAAGGGAATATGAACAGTGACCGGTACACAGAGGGACATTTACGTCCATCTGCTCACGTGTTCTATGGAAATGTTTTGGATTTCCAGCAGGACAACGACCAAAAACATCGTTCAAAACATTCACGGGCCTGGTTTCGACCCAAAATATGACATTATTAGATTGGCCAAGCTATAGCCCTGACCTAAACCCAATAGAAAATGTTTGGGAACGTGTCAATAAGAAAAATCTGACAAATATTGCTGAAATGAAAGAAGAGGTGGTCCGATATTGGTACAGCATGGACCACGACTTTCTAACTTCTTTGATCAGTAGTATTCCCCGCCGCATTGAAACCTGCATTGCTGCCCATGGTGACTTGACAAAATACTAACTGTCTTTGAATCTGGAGTTATGGTCTGCTAATATTCACATTTAATGCGTGAGTGAAAAAAAAGAATTGTACACTCTTTAAATTCTCAATAATTTCTGGTTGTACTGTATCTATTTTTAACATAACTTATAGGGTTCATTTAGAAAAGGAAGTACCCACAAGTTCCTTCCTAATAACTTCATGGACAATATGCACAACATAGGACTTGGAGGAAGTGTTACGCTTTGTCATGCATTGAGGAAAATCACTTCCGTGACAACTCGTGTCATTCCGGGACAAGCCGAATAGAGACACGGGTTCCTCCCATGGCAACTGTGCATGTGTTCTGTGTGTAACATTTATAACCACTGAATGTTAACTTTTGTGAAACCTTTGTGACTGTCACTTTCAACTCTGTTTCAGATACAAAAACATGTATGTAAAGAAATAGTATTAAGGAGGAGTTCTTTGAACAAATGATTTACAACCATATTTTGTCAGTCTGTTTACTTCTAAATCGAATGTTCTTGCAGGTTTCGATAAGGGGTATGTAGTGACGAATGACAGATCAGTCCGTTTGGGATGTCCCTATTATTTTCATGATTCCCACTGTATTTTATCGTGACAAAATTCATCTATAGGCATAAGTTCTTAATCAGCTTTAATGTCACTTGCAATTACTTGTGCTTCCTGTATATAGATTGTCAGTGGTTAGGGTGGGGGTCGGAGTTAGGGTGGGGTTAATTCGAGGTGAATGAGGATCGGTGGTGATGGTGATATAAAGTTAACTATTATTTATATAAATGAACATAGTAATGGTAGTGGGAGGAGTAGGAGTAGCAGTAGCAGCAGTAGTAGTAGCAGTAGTCGTGGTGATGGTAGTAAGAGTAGGAGTTGTAGAAGTAGCAGTGGTTGTATTTTTCTTTTGTAATTGAGACGTAGCTACCCTCTGAGTGTTTGGTCTTGAGCTCCAGAGCATACACCTTTACGTAGATCTCTTGTTTGTCCACGCTGTCACCAACATTGATGTAGCCGACATGAATCAGAGACGTACATGATGATGAATCGGTAGAGTAGAGGAGGTACAAGGTGAAATTGCAGTAGAAAGGTGGAGGACATTCAAAGTGATACGCATCAGATGCGTTTACGTGTTTACGTGTACCATATGTTCCCTCGTCTATTTCCGGTTAACAATGGACTTGCCTTTGCGTGTGTTTGTGACAGTGGGGCAGAATACGCTCAGCTTTTCGAGACCACCAATTATTATCAGTATATGATGCTGATTCATAACCACAGGCTCATGATATAGCCAGAATAACACAATCGATTTTTCTCTTACCAGAGATTGAAGTTTTTTTCTTTTGTTATTGTGAATTTTGAACGGGCGAATACGATCTCGTTTTGACACTTTGTAGTTGTATTATATATTTAACATGAATAACCACCAAGACATATACAGATTTTTGTATGAAAACAGTTGGTAACCTCCCAAAACCCCTACATCCCATAACCCCTACAGCTTATAACAACAAAGTTCCTGGTCCAGTGCACTGCTAATCTCCTGCCTGTTACCTATTTCATAGAATGGACCAGCCCAAACACTTAGCAATTGAGAGAATGATTTTAATGAGCAATAACCAAACTAAGAGTTTCAGAGAATGGTTTTAATAGATGATAACAAAAATATTATCAAAAATATTATCAAAAATAATATTGAACTTGAGATTTAATTAACTTCATTAAATATCATGATGTCATAACACATTAAATATTTCTATATTTTATTTTCTACATATTATCTGTCAGCCTCAAGCAAATCGGTTTTGCCATGTTCCAGCCTCATGATCCCCATTTTGTTGACTATTTATCTTGGTAGCCCCCATAAACGCAAAATCTGCAATTAATGCATCAGGAAACAAAACATGCAAGAAACATCCTGTGTGTTTGAGAGAGGCAGTAGTCCACTACAATCAAACTTAAATATTAAAGTGCATAAAAAAGCAATTTGCAACTACAGTCGCTTGTTGAAATGATTCCCCCTTAATGTTTACTTAAGCTTGTTTTGGAGACACTACCCAACCCTTTCAGATGACGTTATCATAAGGGTATAATTTATTCTAATGTTTTCAAATATTCATACATGATGCCAAGGGTTCAAACTAAATACTGAATGGTCACACAAATGTCAGCTCAATATATTGTAAACAGTGCCAGCTTGAATATCTTGACACAGTTTTGAAAGATTAAAATGGGGCGCCCCTTCTAAATGCAAATTAAAGAATCAAAATCTTTGAATGTTGATTATGACGGGTAGTGAATAAATAAAATAAAATGGAAGCTTTTCAAACATTGAACATCGCGAATATAGTTAGGCTGACTACTTTTTTAACGCTACGATTTACGGAAAGTGTGAGCGAAGAAAATACAGCCTGATATCTGAACGACATAAGTGGATATGAAATGGATTTGTGTGCTTATACGTAACGTTATACGTTAAAACTTAAAAAATTACTCGCAATAAATGTCGAAAATGGATTTTCTTCTATGACGTCAAACGACCACAGAGATTTCATACACGTATAAAGATAAGGGGGCATAACTCCACTATGCTTAACACTAGGCCAATGTAACTCACTGGGAGAGAATTTGTTGTAGATACGGACGCTATATTTTCGTTATGTTTTGTTCACCGTCAAGTAAACTATTCCAATACAAAAATCCCCAATGTGAGCGGATACGTTTTGGTAGTTTCACAATTTATAAGAAAAGGTGACAATGTACAAGAGAAAGCACGTAATAGCGATTTGATGGTTCCCATCTGATATGTAAATCAGTTCTTAGATTCACATATTCGCCTGTTTGTGGAGATGTTTTGACTAATTTTGCATCATTATTAACAGAGTACTAGCCAAATCTTCAAATGTAGTGAAATTACTAAACAATTACACTTTAGTTGACGTCATGGCTTGTTTAATGTATTTTGTGACGTCGATAAAAGACGACATTGGTATGCTGATTAGTAAATATCTCACCTAATTTCCATTAATTGTATAACAGGTCTCGGTATCTATGTCAGACTTTAACGCTCTATCGACATAACATATAATAAGTTATTTTACCATTTAAATAATTATAATAGATAGACAATTGGACGGTTTGACTATGTATCTTAAATTGAACAACACATCAATGTAACATAGGTGACAACGAATATTTCACAATTCACCCGAATATTTTTAGGATAAGGCCTTTCTTTGTCCATGATTATGTGGCTATTTCTCTTCAGAAGTATACAATGAAAGATGCAAAACAATAGCTCTTTTTTATGGAACTATCAGGATAATGATGCAAGGTTTGTCAGATTAAGGTATGACATGTTCTATGTATTTTTAAACAATTTTCATATAAATATAGTTCGAATTTGATATCCTGTCATCACAATATTTTTTAATCGAATATGAATAGATAATATTATCGAAAACAATGATAATGAATCATAAAACGTTTCTGACAAACGCGCACCTGTCCAATCGATATGTATCATTGTTTTGTGTATAAAAGGACACAAACAAAGTCAATGAACAAGACAATTCCGTTAAAATGTGCGTCCATATACTTTTCATAAAATGTATAAAGCATTTCATTAATTTTATCAGCGTTACTTATAAGGTTGAATGAAATCGCTGTTCATTAACCTGTTCATATGAAACTGCAATTAGTCCAAGTGTGTTGAATATGGTATATCATAGGAACTAAAGTACAGTACAAGCAGAAATTATTGAGAATTTAAGATTGTAATTTTTAAAAATATTTTCACTCATTACTCACGTATTAAATGTGAATATTAGCAGAACATAACTCCAGATTCAAAGACAGGTGAACAGTTAGTATTTTGTCAAGTCACCATGGGCAGCAATGCAGGCTTCAATGTGGCGGGGCATACTTCTGATCAAAGAAGTTAGAAAGTCGTGGTCCATGCTGTACCAATATCGGACCACCTCTTCTTTCATTTCAGCAATATTTGTCAGATTTTTCTTATTGACACGTTCCTTCATAAGTCCCCAAACATTTTCTTTTGGGTTTAGGTCAGGGTTATAGCTTGGCCAATCTAATAATGTCATATTTTGGGTCCGAAACCAGGCCCGTGAATGCTTTGAACGATGTTTTGGGTCGTTGTCCTGCTGGAAAATCAAAACATTTCCATAGAACACGTGAGCAGATGGACGTAAATGTCCCTCGAGAATATCTGTGTACCTCTCACTGTTCATATTCCCTTCAATACACAGAGGGCGTTGCCCCTAACACAGATATGCCACCCCACACGTTAAATTACGGACTGTACTTTGGGCGCTGATACAAAGGTTTTTCAGTTTGTTTGGTCCAGAATTTCAGTGTATTAGAAACAGCCACACAGAACTTTCATCTGAGAAAATCACATTGTCCCAGTTAAAATTTCTATGCTGTAAGCACCAGTTCAACCTTCGCTCCTTTTGTTCAGGTTTCATGATCGGTGATGGAATTCCTCGACTATTCTGCCAACCCATTGCATGCAGCTCAGTTCTAACTGTCCCCTTACAGACAGCCACAGTTCCTCTATCCACCATATCGAGCTTTAAGTTTTCCTCCTTCAGACTCCTTCGTTTGTTTTTAGAAACAAGAATACCAAGCCGCCTCCGGTCACCGACAGTCAAGTTTCTGGGCCTAGCTGCGCCTCCCTGGTGCTCAATGCCATATCCATTTGCAATATTTTTCAAAACACGATAAACAGCTGACAAAGGGATGCCTGTTCTACTTGGAATCACTTTAGCTGATCTGATGTCCTTGTTATAATACTCTAAAATCAACTTCCTCTTCTAAATCATCCATACTGAGGATCACTGAAAATGTCGTCTGCTAGCAAGTAAACAAAGGGGGATAACTCTTCACAAACTAATGAAAAAGGATGAACGGAGTTGTCTCTTTTGAATGAAATCAAGCACTTGATAGCTGGTCAAGGTTGTTTATACTAGAAATCCAATTAAACATATTCCTAAAATTCTAAATAATTTCCGGTCATACTATACATGTTGCAGCGATGACTACGATTAATATAACACTAACTAACTAACACTTGTGTAAAGGTTTCAAATATGGTGTACTACACTAAATGTATCTTTTTCTTATGTAAATATTATTCAAACAATCAAAGCTTTCAAAGAATATAAAACGTATCGTATACCCTCGTATGATATGATGTTGAATAAGGCTATGTGGAGATATTGAAGTTAGTTTCATGAAAAAATATCTGAACGATATGTAAAATATACATCATGTAGATACTGAAAGTGTAACCGGAAGGATATGGCGATTGGGTTTATTCTTATTCAACCTCAAAGAAATTGCCTGATATGTTCAACAATGTTGACGTATGACATCACTACCGATGACCAATTGATTCAGGTATTGTTTGTACATAAATATGACATGTAAGTAATCAGAATGATTCCGACTATCTTTGTATGGTTATATGTTTTTATCGTTTTCATTGTAAGTAAGAGAAGAAGCAAGACATGCTGACAATTACTGTTGTCGTTCTGTGTGATTTTGCGTCAGCCATGGCGTCACGCTGCACGGAAACTTTGACAATTTCTTATGAATTATCAAATCATGGCATTGCATCTATTTTTAATTTCCTATGTTTTTGCTACGATAGTCTTTCCATGCATATTCTAAAGGTGGATGTCGGAAAATTTCAGAAAAGCCACGCAGTTTAAAATCGGATTTTTTATGTGTTTACATTTCAAACAAGCGCTGTCTTTCGCACAGCATTCGTTTTCACACCCAATATGTTTCGTCTTAGTTTATCAAGGCAGTTGGTATTAGTGACAAAGACCAGAGGCAATTTGATTAAAAAATGTATGGGGAATTCAGTGATGGATTTGTCGAAGCTGAATATGAAATATACGTGATGTAATAGGCGTCTCAATACCGACCTTGGCAAAACGTGATTTTGTAAACACTATCCAATATGGCGGAAAGCGCACTTCGGCGTTCGTGTGAGTGTATTTTTTAAACATCCCAACCGATTCTAGGTTCATCGGCAACGTTTCAGAATTATCATTAGTGATTTCATGAAAAAACTGATATCAGTGATCATTAATATGTTATTTTAAAATTCAATACTCCTAGTAATTATCCGATTTTCACATTTCAAAACATACAGCAAATAACGCTGTGAATCGCGATTTCGTATTGTGTCAAAACTGGGGACATTTAATATGATGGCTGATATAAGCTTTTTATGAGTATCATACTCTTCCACATATCTCAAGTTTATGAAATAAAGACACGTAAGATGTTAATCAATAGATGAGACATGTTCAACACACATGAAAAAGCATGATATGTCTTTGAGATGATCCCTTTGTGCCCGTAGGCAGCACATGCATTTCATGCCAGGTGAGTCGACGGTCCGTCGTCAAGCCTGGCTGAGCGACCTAATTGCCATGCATAGTCTGATCTATTTTTTCAGCAGCTATTCTTTTTTGTAAGTTTGCCCTGATTTTACGAGTAAACATGCTTTTCTGGATACCCTATTATGCATCCCACTGAACGCCGAGTTAGGCCGATGTGGGTTATTTCGACATATGCTATTTGCAATTGTTTAAATTTTAGGGATACAGAGTAACAGCCTAAAACAGTTTTTTTTCCGACAGCACTTTAGTTACAATAGCTATTTAATATATCAGTTCCTGTTTGGATTCCAGGTTAGAAACGCTCCCCAGTAATCCAAGTTTGTTGTAAAGGGGCACAGTTATTTCCAACTTTAATATACACGTTAGTGTTAAATCTAGTTAGTGTTAAATCTAGTTAGTGTTAAATCTAGTTAGTGTTGACCCCCAAAAAAATTTAGGCAGTTACACAATATATTTCAACTTCGGACTAACTAGATTTATATACTTGTTGTAATGTGGAACATTGTTATTTTCGTCGCAGCAAGCATTCGAAAATGAGACACAAGCATTCCAGCAGATACAAACAGAAGCGTTGAATTTATTGAGGATTACATCTAAAAATCCAGGAGCTGTGAATCCGAAAACCTAAGTGCACCTGTTAAACTCCATTGTCTGTATATACTTGTTGATGGCGTTTTGGCTTGTTATTGCGAAACTTTGATTAGTACCTGCACTCAGCCTCTGACCAATAAGAGTGATGGGGTTGTTGCTATTCCGTGTGATTTGATACTATTACCAAATTAGGGATTCAAGGATTTCCATTATTTTCCATTGTGTTCTCCATCAAACACTTGCATATACATTGTAATATACATCGGTGCCTGATTTTGATTTAAACATATTTATTCAAGAGAATGGATTGGGTACAAGTTATGCCAACTTAGTGAAACCCTCTCCAATTTACAGTGCTTACATGCAAAAGTGAAACAAACTATATGTACAGGGATAGAAAGATATATACAAAATGATATATACAATACAATGAATACATGAATTATTTAGATCATACTCATTATATATGATCACTGAACCTTTGGAATTTGATATATATTTTGAACTTTTTAAAATGTGAATATTGTCACTATACGGAAGATCTGCACTGCCATTTAATAGTACGTCTAGGTTTGTTGGTGCTTTAATGTTACAAATTCTGCTAATATTTTGAAACATTTCCCGTCTGATAACAGAATACAAAGAACATTCCATAAAATAATGTTGAGAATTTTCACAGGTAAATTTACAATTACATTCGGGGTTCTCTATGAGACCGATCCTATATAGATCACCATTTAATCTACTATTTGAATATCTTAGCTGGGTATGAATTACATTGAGTTTTCTATTACCAAATGAGAAATATCCTGGTGCTTTTGACTTATGCGAGCTTATATGCGATTTAAACCTTTAAGGGAAACTGATTCTCTAACATATAAAGGGAGATTATTCCAAAGTTGTGCAGATGATTGGAAAAATGATTGACTGTAGAGATTTGTGCGGGAATAGTACAGGGAAAGATCACGAATGTTTCTAAGATTATAATTTGTCCTAGATTCAACAGTTTGCGGCATAAGATCACAAAGGTAGGATGGAGCATTTTGTTGTATATATTATAGAATCGGTGCCTGAAGACTTCATTAATTGATTATTGTCTCTTGGTTTGACTTAATATACTTACTATGCATTTTTCGTTATTTTCAGAAAATGGATAAAGGCAAAACCAAAGAAGAAGATTCTAAAATACTAGTAATATCAAAATGTTTACGAGCTTTTTAAAACATAAATAATAAAAAGTGTTGATTACATGTCTGCCATTCTTTTTGTTTTGTTTTTTTTCCTTGTTAAGAGTAACAATGTCTATTTTCTTAGACATGTAACCTTGTTGTTTGAGGTTAGTGTTTTACTGAAAAGTTAAAACCACTTCTTGACAGAAAATGTTATTACAACGTTTCCTGAACCATAAATATTCACATGAATAAAACGTTTTCAGAAACCGTTTTGGTGGTTACTGAATTTTATAACCAAATAATCATAGAAAACACTGTTTCTGGAACAATACAAATTCACGTGAATAAATCGTTTTTAAAACGTGAAATGATTAGGTGATGCTTTTTCACATATATATATATTTTTAATACACATATGAAATTGTATTCATTTATAGATTTTGGTAAATATGCTGTCAAATATAACAAATATGTATTCACCGTGGAGAAGTGAAGTGAGCAAATATTTAATATTGCAGTGCCTTTAAAGTATGCCGACGTTGGACCGATGCAGTGCCAATAAAGTATGCCGATGTAGGGTCGATGCAGGGCCGATGCAGGGCCATTGAAGTTTGCCAACGTTGAGCCGATGTCGGGCCGATGATGGCATGCTACCCGGGTAAATATCTAAGACTTGCATGACTACTCGTCACAAAGGCAGTAAATGTCTAAGACATGCATCACTTGTTGTCACAAAGGCAGTAAATGTCTAAGATATGCATCACTTGTTGTCACAAAAGCAGTAAAAGTCTAAAACCTGCGTCACGTCCTGTCTCAAAAGCAGTAAATGTCTAAGACCTGCATCGCTTGTTGTCACAAAAGCACATATGTCTAAAACCTGCGTCACTGCCTGTTCCAAAAGTAGTAAATGTCTGAGACCTGCATCACTTGTCGCAAAAGCAGTAAATGTCTAAGACCTGCAACACTTGTTGTCCTTAAATCAGTAAACGTCTCGGATATCCATAATTTGCCCATAACATCTAAGAAGTAAATTTTAAAGCTCTGAATATCATTCATCATCCAACATACAGTAAATGTATTGAATTGTTGTCCTCTGAATATAAATGCGCACTTTATCATGTCAAAATTTGTAATTTTTGCATACAGACAGCAGTCATCACAAACCTGATGATCATGTATCGCCCCTTTTTATGCATCGTTTTCATTCAGTATGTACGAATTATTGTCATGACCCTACATTCTGTTGGGCAATGGCCTTGAACTACAAGAATTAAACACATATACACTGAGCAACACTGAAAACGTGACATTCAGGATTTTTTGGACTAGGTTTAAATATTCTGTTCAAGACAATAATTTTAGCTGTGTGCTGTGCACAGAACATCTTGACATCAAAGGAAAACAAAACGCTCACCGAAAATCTTTAACAACGATAGCGGTCATGATGTCAATATACCCTCCAAATGAAGTTCATATCGCGGAGAACAATTTGATTGAGGACTTCAGTAAGGGCTGTGGCCTCCTCCAGCGACTCTTCCAGCCACACAACGCCTCCTCATGGATCTTAGAACGTTAGTAAACACACCCTGAGGAAGACGTCGCCATTGCTCAAAAAGGTGACGGTGAAGATTTTGTAACGTCTGTGGTGGATTGACTTGCTGACGAGCACCTCGACCCAGCTCGTCCCAGATGTGTTCGACAGGACTGAGGTCAGGGCTACGCAACGGCCAATCCAGAACTTGACTACCGACATTTCGTAGAAAATTCCGGGTACAGATAAATTCCAATAGAGAACTGAATGGTCTGGCAGCGATTTTGGCATATTAGCACCTTTGATTATTGATGACACAGTAACAAAATTAAAGTTTATAAAGTAATTCAGTTGTTCATGACCAGTGACAACATGATCAACTACTGAGGCATCGTTCTTGATATATGCAAAGTCCTGTGTTCCAAGGCGCCCATTTAAAACACACAAATTACACTGTGTTAAGAAGTCAGCAAAAAACTTGCCCATGAGAACAGTATACAGTTTATACAGGAGCCTATTAAACAAGTCTTCTGCACCATTGATGCGAGAAGGACAGGATTCGGAAAGATAACAAACACAAAACACAATATTAAACAATGTTAAGTCTGACTTGGTCTTGGTTAATTAAATTAATAACCAGTTAATTACACCTGTATCAAGCTTGTATTGTTGTGTTTCTGTAATTGTTGTTTTTCAATCAACACACCCCAATCCCACCAACTGCCATAAATTACCTGTCAGGAACTTTCAGTGGTATTGAAAGCTCCCGCCTATCGTTTCAGTGAGAAATTGTTTAACTGATAAGTATGTAATCACTCGGCACTTAAAACATCAGAAGTACTAACGTGGGACAGGACTGAAAATGTGGTTAGAATAAGGCTACTTGGAGATGTCATTTCGCGATGTGTTGAACTGCAACCTAGGACTAGGAAACCTGTTTTTTCCACATGTCTAGGACTAGGAAACCTGGTTTTCCACATCTCTAGGACTAGGAAACCTAGTTCCTTCAAATGTCTATATCCAGTAAAAAACACCATGCCACCAAAAAGAGATTTGTCTCCGGACCAGATCCAAGAAATCTGTGACCTTTGCGTTGTACTCTGGCAGCCGAGGTTAAAGAGCGTCTCGGTATCGGCTTTAAAAGTCTCTATAGCTATGGCAAGAGCTCTCTAACACAAACGTATTGCCCGCCACAGAACGTTCGACCCTCTTGCCCACCGGCGAGATAGCACCAAATATGACGTCGCCCTCCAGCACAACCGTATTGCCTGCTGCAAAACCGTCGACCACTCTCCAGGACTTCTGTAATCATCTGGGGAAGATCGAGGCTTATGTGGAGCAAACCGCGACGATGTTGTCGGCTCATGGGGAGCAAACCACGAATATGCTGGTCAACATCTTGTCTAGGCTGGACGACGATGATAATTCCACTCTCGACGAACTCCGCAAGGAAATAGAAAACGTAAAGGAGGAACAAAAAGAGACTCATCTGGATATCCAGAAGGTGGGGCTGATGCCAGAATCGGCCCCAAAGTGGACCTCCCTTTCGCTAGCCACTGTGTTTCTCTGGAAGGCTGCGCAGATGACCTGGAAGCACTGCACACTTGCAGACAGACAGGCCGACGAGAAGACAGAAACGTCCAAACAAGTTTGCACAGTCCACCCCAGGCACCCCTTCTACATGGACTAGAAATAAATATGTTTGTATGCATGATTGTGTGTGACTCGATGGAAGCTTTACCAACTTGGTCTCTGGGAACAGCAACTCAACTTCTCGATCGTCTTTCTTTTCCAAAGTGGGCGAGTAGCAGATTTTGCCAGGCCTACACAGAAACGGTCCACCCACCAACTGTAGATGTTCTATTCCGTCGTTGTCTCGAATTGTTTCTCGTATCTTGTAGCTGTAGACCGGAATCGTTTCTCCAGTCGGCGAATCAAGTAGCGACAACAATCTGTTCTCCCCTTTGTATTTCGCTTCTGCAAACTTTTGCACGTATGGATTCCTCCGAACGTGTGCCGCTTTTGGTGTTTGTTTCATATTCTGGACAACTCTTGTGTGTATACTACTTTTGGAGTTGCACTGTCACAAGTTGTGGAAAACAAATTTGAGGCTTCTAAAGGGTGTGCACCTCCACAGGGACTACTCTTGTGTGTGTTTGGACTACATTTTGTCTTCTGTTGCTGTATGCTGCATGCTGCATGTCTTTTTGTATGCGTAGAAATGTAGGATATTTGTTTGCATATATTTTGGGTGTTGCCAAGGACTCTTGTACTGCGATGGCGATTCTGGAAACTACGAGAACTTTCCCTTCGCTTTTCCCAAAGATACTCTGACATTCTTGCAAACGCAGTCTTTGGGCTGTAGGTAGCCAAACACGTATATATCGTCTACAAATGTAGGTAGGCCTTCCAAAGGTTGTAGATTTGTTCTACCGAGATTGTCAGCAAGACATTGGCAGTATCTTGGACAAAATTGCTTTCAACAGTACTTTCTAGGAGTAGACAGATTTTTCTATGTGTGGAGAGAAAAATAACATCGGAAAGTGGTCCAAATACATAGAAACGTGGACAAAAAGCTTTTCCCCCATTGCTTTGACATAGGTAGTAGAACCCCCATCAAGTATACTACTTATGTTAAGTTTGCTTCTGACGAGGTGTCGTTGCAGAGAATATTGGATGTTGTAGCTGATTGGTGCTCCCGCTGGCGAATTCTTGTTAATATTCAGAAAACCAAAGTAATTCATTATCGTCCGAGATCGTTTATGAGATCTAAATTTGTCTTTACAATTGGTGATGATTGTGTTGATTATACTAACGCCGATTAATACTTGGGACTTTGGCTTGAAGAGAATCTTGATTTAAATTACACTGCTGAGGAAATAGCCAAGTCTGCTAATCGTGCACTGGGATAGGTGATGTGTACGTTTAAGTCCGTGGGCGGTATGGCTTATAGCGTTTTTAATACATTATACAATAACTTAGTGCAACCTATTCTGTCTTAAGGTGCAGCACTTTGGGGAACTAAGGATTTTAGTTGTATAAGCGCAGTATAGAACCGTGCTTGTAGATTTTTTATTGGTGTAAATAGCAAAACTCCCAATTTGGCAGTTAGGGGTGATATGGGATGGACTAGTACTTTGTCAAAACAGAGAACAGAAGTATTACGATTTTGGGATAAACTGCACCTGAAAGATTGCCTTCTGTTATTAGCAGCTGGTCACAGCGTTTAGCCAAATCATCGGATAACATAGTGTCATCTTTATTACAGTCGTAATGCTACAATCATATGCTACACATATGTAGGAGTGAATTGACTTTGTCATTTCAACATATGCAGTTGTCAGATCATCAGGAGTGGCTACAGGAACTGTGGAATGACCAAGGTAATCCCATGGGTAGTAAGCTACGCACATATAGACAGTTTAAGTACACTGTTACTCCGGAACCATGCATGACTTCTACACTGCCTAGATGGCACCGTAGCGTTCAAGGTGAACTATGTTGTGGTACCTTTCAATTAGAAATAGAGCATGGTAGATTTTCTCGTCCTAAAACTGGTCATAGTGCGGAGAGTTTCTGGAGTTTGGGTTTCCAGGTTTAAATTGTGACGTGTTGTGTTCTTTGGTGAGAACGTCCATTTTTCATATTTGAAAAGGTTTTATGTTTCAAAGTGGAAGCAGACAGTTTACGAGCGAGTCAAGGCCACGGATTCAGAAGTCTGCAGTATGGGGTTCTGAATCAGTGCAATGTTACTAAATTACTTGTCAAACCAAACATATATAGGACATTAACTAAGAATGCCAACATTCAAAGATTTGTTGAAATGAGCCACTGTCCTTCGGGTTTCACGTACAAAAACGATCCATTAATTAATCATTCATTATCATGCCTGTTTCATAAGGCCTTTCTGTGTGTCGAAAATGTTGTCTTTGATTGGCAGACAAATCGGGACTACTTTGAAATCTCTGCCAAAGATTCCTGGGAAACCCTGTGGACCTATGTAAAAAACTAATATATACATTTGTCAAGTACACAGTTTTAAGCTTCCCGTGTTCTACAAAAATGCAAAGGTCAGACAGTAGGCTGGAGGTAACAAGAAATCTGAAGCATTCACTTCCCTAAGCACACGTATCTTCATAAGCACCATGACACTCGGTCAGAGTGCCTGGAAGATTGTCGTTGTTCAAAAAGGATTAACCATTAAAGGAACACAGTTCACCATCTGTATTTGCATTCCTATTCCCATATTTTGACCTTTTAATGTATTTGAAATACATTTTGTGTCGGCATATACAAAATAAGAATTATGGGAATGAAATAGGACTCAGGAACTGACCTTGGCTAATACTTGAAAATCTCCTAGATTTTTCACGTTTGCGTTGGAATCATACTTGTACTGGTACCCAATCCCGGTTCAAAGTTAAGAAAACTTGAAGAAACACGGGTCAGTATAACAAATATTCCACAAATTGCCGGTAAATGATTTTCAGACATTTTGTAGAACGTATTCTTTCTTCAAATGCGATACAGTGCACTATTCTTGAGCAAAGTCCGCTCCTGGTAAAAACCTCCCGTCAAGTCTTCAACACGGGCTACAAAAAGTAAATATCAGTTTGAACAAGATGTTCTTGCTATTCACTTCATTCACATCGACCTTGAGCAGAAGTCAGAAACAGTACTTTCACACACACATAACTCTATACAATGGGTGTCTTCTTAAACGAAGACTGAAGCGAAGGGGAAATATCCGTGACGCATGGCCATATTTTGCTTTTGCGTGACTGTATTCATCGTCATTTGAGCTATCAAGGCATATATCTGTGAAATCATGGGAAGGACGCTGTGATATTGACGTAGACGACTATGTTAAACCAGCCAATGGGTGCTTTTGTCCACATCATGTCTGATTTGATTTAAACATATTTTGTTCACAAATGTGAAAGGGATTTGGGACAAGTTACCCAACTTAAAATACCCGCTGTATTATATCTAATAGTATTATTATTGTCAGTGGTAAATCCAGGGAAGCCCCTTTTGTGTTATTGGATGGATGGATGGATAGATGTTGAGTGCCTGACTTTAAGACGTCTCATACTGCACATCATGGTATGCCTAACACAATCTACTCCGGGATTCCTACCCACTATAGTCGTACTCTGGTACAATATCTGGAAACAGCTACACAGCGAATGAACATAAAGCATTTACACGAAACGCATCACAAAACACTATAAAATAAAGACGATCACAACAGTGTCTCACTTATGTCATTCCGTGCTGTTTATGAAGGGGGAAATCCCGAAGTAACACAGTCAGTACCATGCCACCCAGAGTATCCTGGAGCAGAGTGAAGGAATGTTTAAAATTGGTCTCAAAATTGTGGACTGGTTATTGTACTAAGTTGCGCAATAGGATGGAACCCAGTCAACAGGAAACGAGACTGTTGTATAATCAATGTTTTGACTTGACAATGTGCTTATGTATCAAACTAACTTCTCGTATACCGTACATGTATTGAAAGGATAATAATATATATAGATAAACAAGGTTTGTTATTTCAACAGGGCGACGTCTCAGTGTAGGGACTCACACTGTTATCAAGCAAGTGGTAGAATCTATAACTTGTCAATGCTTCTCAAGGAAGGTTATTACATTTGTAACCAACAAGCACAAGTCGGGGGAAATACGTTTGCCCAAAATTGTTGACTTTAGGTAGCCAAATTGTGTATACAAATGAAAATATTGATAATGTAAATGTGTGACATAGGCAGTTATATGAAACTCATATAAGGTCTTCTTTTCGTAAAACAAGGTCATATTTTACCGTCACAAAAATGAAAAGCAACTACTCTGAAACTATAAACCAGTATTTTTAATGGCCTGGGATGGGATGACGAACGTTTTTCCCCCAGAGCTGGTGGTGGTGGTGTTATACATTTAAGGCGACTTGGACCGGAAGTGGGGTTTACTGGCGCCCAACACATTACTTGAACCATCACAATTATACTGACTGAGTTTGGTTTTACGACGTTTTAAGCAATATTCCAGCAACATCACGGCGGGGGACACCAGAATTGGGCTTCACACATTGTACCCATGTGGGGATTCGAACCTGGTCTTTGGCGTGACGAGCCAACGCTTTTACCACTAGGCTACCCCACCGCCCCCACAAATATAAGTAGGCATATTACAGATGACTAAAGTTACCATGCATTAAGTGTATTCACTATATTGAGAAGGTTCTTGAGAGGCATTTAGAAGTTGGTATTCAAGTCAAACGCAAATATTATGGATGACAACTTCTTCTTTATTGTGTGTCACAACGTTTCTGGGCTATTCCTTGCCCCTTCGTCAGGTGAATTGTAACCATCAAGATACACCAATTAATATATATACTAAACGTACAAGAAGCCAGTGGAATAAATTGGATAAGAAACAGGAGATGAAAGAGTGAGATGTACAGATAATGGGCATTGTTTATACAAGGGAAGCGTTTATACAAGTGATGAGAAGATGTGGGTAGAAGCCAGTAAATACCTAATTGACTTCCCAGGCACAGGTGAGGAACACTCCTTGATCCCTGTTCAGCTGCGGGTACATAATTCTCTTATCGTTAAAAACTCTAACAGTATGCGCTTGCGCCATTCAATTACATTATTGGTTAATACGGTTTATTGTTGCCAGTCAATGCATTCGTGACCAACTCGTGTTATTCCAGGACAAGCCGAATAGCGACTCGTGCACCTCTGGAAGGATTTCATATTGGCGCATGAACATCAGAACTACTTTTAAAAAGAACGATAACTCTATCCCTATTTGATTCCAATGTTTCTAAACATCACCGAAGCACATGTACATGTATTGCTAGGTTGTTTTCTTGTTTGTTTGTTTTTTACTTATTTAGTTTACAGAATTAAACCTCATTGATACAACTAAAAGAAGGAGAAACACATCTTTGTTAGACATATTCTAATGTAATTATTACCAGCTGTTCACCTATAATTTTTCTAATTATGTTTATTTTCTTAATAGGGTTTAATTATCACAAATGGGAATTGTTTTATTGAATATACAAAACAAAATCCAAGAAAAACATCAGCTACATTAAATCCCAAAGCAGATACTCAAAAATGACTTTAAAATATTTCTCAAACTGAACATTCGTGTAACCTTGCTGTCCCACCCCTGGTGAATTTGCTGAAAAAAAATATGAAAAGCCAAAAAACACTCAGACTAAAATAGCCCCTGAGCTATGAAATATAAGCCCAATGTTAAAGATTAAGGTTGATCAGTTACATACAAATACGATATTATTGTTTTGAAACTCGTAGCGATTATCAATTTGGTCGAAGCGCACGTACCATCTCCATAACAAGCCCGCAAGATCGTCAGAAATACCCCCAGTTGGACCCATGAGAGCAGTGATGTCAACGAACGCACGTGCGTGTATTTGAATCTCTCACCGTCAATCTCATGATTCTTATTAAAAACTTCATAATAGTCAGCAAAATCCTTTTAGCTACGTTCTTTGTACTTTCAATATGACGATATATATTTTTCATGATTCTTTAAACAAGAATGACATAATGCCATAAACGATTTAAGTACTCGGGATTGTTTTTATCAAAGCACCGCGCTCATTTACGCGCGTTCTGATTGGTTTGTCGTATTTTCGCACATAACAAGTATCGAGTGGGGGACGAGTCTTCTTTGAGGGTACGGAAAGGGGCGAGTGGTGACGAATAGAGTCTTCTTGGAGGTTACGGAAAGAGGCGAGCGGCGATGAATGTCACAAATGGTGCTCTACGAGTTGATCTGGATGCAAATGCAGAAACGTTTTGGACGTGCCCATGCCGAAACCACGGACGGCAAGAAACGGTGCACTTGCAAATATGATCTAATTTTAGGTGGTAATCGGATTAAAAGCGAATTCGTTTTGTGTAGTACTTGTAAAGGTGAGACAGAAAAGCGTGTCAAATTACAGTTTTAATTTGAAAAGGAATCCCTGTTTAACTACGAGAGTCACGAGCACGCGTTTCGATTACATCGCATTTGCCACGGTCAGCTTTACGTCTTCCTTACGTTGACAATATCATCTATAGCTAAGTGAAGTTTCTTAAAGGCGAGTTCGCGACTTTATAGAAGGCTGGGAGTGATTCAGATTGAGGCCGTTCAAACAACTCGTGATTGTCTGGTTTTACGTCTGAAGGCGAGGCCTACTGTATGGAAAGGCATTTCAAACCATGATCGGTTAGATGGAGTTTGAATCTGAGAAAAACATTTGGACATTTGTCGGTTTTCTCTTTCCATCCCTTAAACCCGCATAATTTGGTTTGAGTTCTGTACACTGCGGAGCTTAAAATAACTTAGTTTAAAGTCAACCAAGTAAGAAAAACATGTACAGAAAACAAACCCAATGAGTCCTTATCAGTACCAGTATAACAAATCGGTGGAGCTGTTGGATCTCTGAATGCATGCTTAGATGTAGCAACAGTTCTATAATTCAAAGCACATGCACAGTCCCTTTAGCTTACAAAGCAGGTGGGTATTTACCCGCACTCAAACACAACCCCGATGCCAGAATTGTCCACGAGTAACACTTATGATGAGTGAGTGAGTGAGTGAGTTAATATTTAACGTCACATCGGCAATATTTCAGCCATATCGTGACGAGAACATTTGATATTGAAATGAAATAGATGTAAATTATAAAATCCTGCCGACGAAGGGCAGTAAAACAACTAGAATATCACAGATATACATGTAGAACTAGTAATAGAGTCTAAAACATTTTAACCACAGGGGACAACACAATATAAAAATGGGCTATAGATCGCCAACAACTGAAGGTAGATCACCATACTAGGAACGATGGGGACTTACATTACTTTTGCTACCTGCATGGACCCTAGTTGGATTTACACCATCCGTTCAGCCATTGGCAACAGAAGAGAAATCTAGCCATAAATTGAAAGCACACATATTCTACGATTAAAAACCTGATACACTTAAATTGACTTTGAAAGTTTTGGGACTTACGTACCCCCTCAGGAGGACAATAATTTTACGCTACGTCAACCCCCTTTGAGGGTACAGCCACTAACAATCTCAGTTACTAATATAAACTACCAATAATTAAATATGTAACTATTTACAAATCAGTCAACAAATCTATTTTTTTTAAAAATGCAATAATTAAATGAAAACTGACATTATTAAAAAGATCCTTCAGAGTTTTGGATTTGAAATAGATATCCCTTGTGATGGAATATTCAATGCAGTCAAGCAAGACATGCTTGACTGTGATCCTTTCATCACAAGGGATACAAAACGGAGGATCTTCGCCTTTCAATAAATATTCATGAGTATATCTGGTATGGCCAATGCGACATCGTCGCATAATGACCTCCTCAAATCTGGACTGACAACCCAAGTAGGTGTAACCAATGTAGGGTTTTATTGCATGTAATTTATTAATACCTACTTGGGTGTCCCACTTCTTTTGCATCAGATCGCGGATGTATGTTCTAATGCTGGCTTTATAATCAGAGTATGGGATAAGAAGTGGTGTCACAGGTTTGTTGAGGGCTGCCTTAGCAGCAATATCAGCCATCGTGTTCCCAGAAATGCCAACGTGACTGGGTAACCAACAAAAGACGATGTCGCATTGGCCAGTCGCAAGTTCATTGTACAATTCAATAATTTCTAATAAAAGTGGATGTTTGCAAGAAAGATTTTTAATAGCCTGAAGACACGAAAGAGAATCGGAAAAGATGATATATTGTTTATATTTACGATGTTTATTAATATATTTAAGAGCTGTTAAGATGGCGTTTGCTTCTGCTGTGAAAATAGAGCTGTTATTTGGAAGTCGAGAAGATATTGTTTTGGATCCAATGACAGTGGCACATGCCACCGCGCCACCATCCTTGGACCCATCTGTAAATAAGGATTTATATGTTTTATATTTATTTCTTAATTGACTAAATTCTTGTTTATACTGTAATTCATTTGTTTATGATTTTTTAAATGTAGTTAATGTTAGGTCAACTTCAGGCCTAACCAATTGCCAAGGCGGAGAAGAAAAGAAATGGGAAGGAGCTATATGTTCTAGCTCAATGCCAGCAGCAGAAAGGAAAGGTTTCAATCTTATACCAAGAGGCGGAACAAGAGAAGGCTTCTTGTTATACAGATCTTCATATAGTGGATTAGAGACACAGTTATATGCAGGGTTTGACTCATTGGAATAAAGTTTTGTAATATACTGTAAAGTTAATTTTATACGGCGTAGTGTAAGAGAAGGCTCATCTGCTTCAACATATAGACTATCAATAGGAGAGGTTCTAAAGGACCCAAGACAAAGTCTTAGGCCTTGGTGGTGGACAGAATCAAATAATTTTAGGTTGCTTTTGCAGGCTCCACCATATACGATGGAGCCATAATCAAGTTTCGAGCGGACCAATGATCGATACAGGTGGAGGAGGGTAGCTTGATCCCCTCCCCACTTTGAGTTGGAAACAACTTTCAACAAATCGAGTGCCTTCAGGCATTTGGCTTTAAGTGATTTAATATGTGGCAAAAAAGTTAAATGGGAGTCGAAAATTAGACCCAAGAATTTGGCCTCCTTAACAACTTTGATGGGAGTGCCATTTAAAGATAGTTCTGGATCTTTATGCGGCTTATATTTTCTACAAAAGTGTAGACAATTAGTTTTGGATTTGGAAAATTTATAACCGTTTTCAAGACACCATTTATTTATTTTATTTAAACACAACTGCAATTGCCGCTTAATAGTATGCATATCTTTACCACGACAAGAAATGTTAAAATCATCCACAAAAAGTGATCCATCAATTGAATCGTTTAAAACCTTGGATAAACTGTTAATCTTGATACTAAATAAAGTGACAGACAAAATACTGCCTTGAGGAACACCCTGATCCTGATTGTAATGATCAGACATGTTTGAACCCACTCGGACTTGAAATTGTCTGTCTTTCAAAAACCGTGATATAAAAAGAGGCAAACGGCCTCTCAAACCAAAGTCATGTAAATCCTTCAAAATGCCATGCTTCCAGGTCGTATCATAAGCTTTCTCAAGATCAAAGAAAATTGATACAGCATGTTGTTTACTTACTATAGCATTCTTAACAAAGGATTCCAAGCGTATCAAATGATCAATGGTACTACGATTTTTCCTGAAACCACATTGAATATTGGTTATAAGGTTATTGGTTTCAAGATACCAAGTTAATCTATTATTCACCATACGTTCCATGGTTTTACAGACACAGCTAGTTAGAGAGATCGGTCTGTAATTAGACGGATCTGTATGATCCTTGCCAGGTTTTGGTATTGAGACTACAATGGCATTACGCCATGAAGTAGGAAATTCTCCAGACGTCCATATTTTGTCAAATATATCTAAAAGTGTCATCAGACATGGTTCAGGTAAGTGTTTCAGCAGCTGGTAATGTATATTGTCATCACCCGCTGCAGTGTCATGAGCTTGCTCAAGAGCAGTATGTAGCTCATGTAATGAAAACACTTCATTATAATCTTCACCGTTATTTGATTCGAAATTAAGTTTTGTCTTTTCCTGTTGTTTGTGATATCTCTGAAACTCAGGGACATAATTTGCCGATGATGAATTTTTGGCAAGGGTTTCGCCAATTTTATTTGCAATGTCAGATTTATCAGTTATCAAGTTATCACCATCTTTAAGATGGTGTATAGCTGATTTTGAACCTTTGCCTTTTATTCGCTGAACCATGTTCCAAACCTTAGACATTGGCGTGCGCGAATTAATTTTGGAGACATAATTTCTCCAAGATTGTCGTTTGTTTTGTTTAAAGGTACGACGCGCCTTTGCATTGAGTATTTTAAATTTATTTAAGTTATGGACAGTTGGATGATGGCGGAAATAATGTTCTGCCTTCTTCCTCGCTTTTCTGGCTTGTCTACAGTCTGTATTAAACCATGGTTTCCGTACATGTGGAATTGTAGAGGATTTCGGTATACACTCGTCAGCTATTTCATTTAAAACGTCAGCAAAAATCTGAATGGGATCAGTTATATCACTGAAACAATCAGGTCGCTGATTTGATTTACAGTTAGTTTGAAATGAAGACCAGTTAGCCTTCGAAAAGTTCCATCTTGTGTACGAGGGAGAATCAGATGGAGTTATTTCTGAAAGGATAGTTGGGAAGTGGTCACTTCCACAAAGGTCATTATGAACAGACCAATCAAATTCATTCAGGAGGTTAGAATCTGCAAGAGATAAATCCAAAGAAGAATAAGTGCCAGTTGCAGGATGCAGATAGGTGCTTGAATCATCATTAAATATACACAGGTCATTATTTGAAATGAAGTCTTCAATTATTTTACCTTTAGTATTAATGGTAGAACTGCCCCAGAGTGGGTTGTGACCGTTTAGGTCACCCATGATAACACATGGTTTCGGGAGTTGATCATAGAGTGATTGAAGATCAGTCAGATGAAGTGTCGATGAAGGTGGAATATACAGAGAGCGCAACGGAAATGCTACACCCAGAGTAAGTCGCACTGCAACAGCTTGGAGATTAGTGTTAAGAGTAACAGGGCTGTGAATAACATTCTGTCGTATAAGGATAGTAGAACCTCCAGTAGCTCTATCACCTGGAGGGGAAAAATAATTATAGTCTTCAAACTGGCGTAAGTTAAAATGATCTGTCTGTTTCAGATATGTCTCTTGCAGACAGAACGCTGATGGTGTTAAATCTTGGACAAATAGCTGTATTTCATTAAAATTTGTCCGGAGTCCCCTACAGTTCCACTGCACGATATTGGTAGATAGACCTATCTTTTAGGCGGATTAATTGGGGATCTACCCCGCACTGTTTTCGAGGGCGACAAGCTATGTGCCCTAGAATGGACGTTTTCGGACACGTCCATGTCCTCAAGTGATCCGTATTGGTTATATAACTGAATTCTATTTTCCGACCCTTTTGGGGCTCTGCCACTTTGTTTTTTGAAAGCATCAAGCTTCTGTTTATGTTTGCTTTTAGCAGTTTGCTGAGTATCAGATGACGATTGAGATTGTGAACGTGACTGTGTGAGTGACTTGTGATCTGAAGATGACTCTGCCTGCCTTTCAGCTGTACTAGGAAGTGATTCCGTGGTTTGAGATGATATAGCAGGATATAAACACTGTGGACTGTCACTTTTGACCCAAGTCAAGTTTGTTTGACAGCTTGTGGATGATGTAGATACTTTAGGGCTTGATTCAGTAGGTGTTTTGGTTATTGAAGCATAACTTTCGGTAATTTCCGATCTCTTCACAAGTTTTTTTGGCGTCAGAAAAACTGATGTTTTGGCTAAATTTGATCTTGTTGATCTGCATTTGTTCTTTCCAAATCGGACACTCTTTTGAAAACGATGAATGTTCTCCTGAACAGTTGGTGCATTTTTTTAAAGGTACTTGTACAATCTTCAGTTGTGTGTGTCTTCTCACCACAGTGAGCACACACAACGGACAATGTACAAGTCTTTACACCATGGCCGAACTTCTGGCACTTAAAACATCTGAGCGGATTCGGAATATACAAGTCAACCTGGATGTTGCAGTAACCTGCCTTCAGTGATTTGGGAGCTGTCGGAGAAGAAAAGGAAAATAGATAAGTGTTGGTTGGAATAGTTTCATTGTTTTTACGGGTTGAAAAGCGTTTGACGTACAGCACACCTTGGTCTTTCATTTCAGTCACGATATCAAGTTCTGACATGTCAGCAAACAGGCGATCGCGGTCTCTGACGATACCTTTGCTTGTATTTAATGTTTTGTGAGCAGAGACAGTAACGGGAACGCCGACGAACGATTCGGTGCTCATCAGGTTGGCTGATTGATGTCGTTTAACACATTCAACCAGCAGCGCACCTGAGCGTAATTTTTTTAATGTTCTTAACATCTCCGGCTATACCCTGAATACCCTTAGATATTGCGAAAGGGTTCAACTTTAACGGTGTCTTGTCAACAGTTTCAATCACTACAAAAC